GGTGTATAGCTGGCGGAAGTTTCCTCCCTTTGTCTGGGCTGCCTCTTCACTTGGTTGACCACCTTTTTGTTTTTGTTGCTGTACAAAGATCTTTAGTTCCATGAAGCTGCATTTGTTAACTGTTGGCCTTATTTCCTGAACAACTGGACTCCTGTTTAGAAAGTCTGTACTTATGCCTTTGTGCTGCTGTGAACTCCTTCCCTGGATTTTAGCAGTTTCATGATTTATCATTTTATGTTGAGGTCTTTGGTCCATTTTGAGTGAAATTTTGTGAGTGGTGAGAGATAAAGGTCTAGTTTCATTCTTCTGTTTGTGGATATCCAGTTTTCCCAACACCATTAGCAGAAGATGCAGAGTAATTAATTTTGGCAAAATGGCTGTCCTACCAAAAGTAATTTATAGATTCAATGCAATTGAAATGCCTCCTCCCCATGCCATTCTACACAGAAATAGAAGAAAAAAATTTTAAAATTCATGTGTGTAGCATACAGACTTTCACATACTATCTTGTGTGAACTCTGTTCCCATGGAGCTTTTTTTACTCCCCTCGGAGGAATGCCTCTGCCTGCCCAAGGAATGCTGCAGGCAGGATCTCTTCTCCCACTCTTCTCAGCAGCAATCAGCTTAAGGGCATGATGCAAACAGCCTCCATTTAGTCAGGAGACCATTTGTCTTCTGAGCACATCTGGTGATTGCAATAAGAAATACTCTGTATGTTTTTCATTGTTTCTCTGTCCCTGCTTTGATGAACTATCCAAATAAAAGCTCAGCAGAATGCCAGTAAAGGGCTCTGGAGCAGAATAGCCTTGGGACCCCTGGTTCTGTTGAATCTCAAATTTAACTTGAGATCCTGGGTACCAGTCATCATCACATCAAAATATATATGGAAACAAAATACATATGGAAACAAGCCCTGCCTTTTGAGACAGGGTCTCATTGTGTAGCCATGGCTGGCCTGGAACTCCCTATGCAGAGCAGAACGTCTTCTAACTCACAGAGATCTGCTTGTCTCTGTTTCTCACATGCTGGCATGAAAAGCATGTGCCACTATGCCCAGTCAAGACTTATGTTGATTTGGCACTCCAGGAAATGAGTGGAGCTCCCTCATTCTGCTGCTCACACTTCATCCTCCTCTCCTTTCTTTCAATTTATACCTCAATAATTTCTGAAAAAGGATTAATGAAAGCCTCTAGAACGACTCTCAGGAAAGTAGAAATGTAATAAAATGATCTTCAAGTTTCCAGCCAAGTGTATTTCTTGCCTTCAGACTGTGAAATAACAGTATTGCTAAATGAGAAAAAAATCCATCTAAGTAATATATGAATTTGGGTCTAATGTGAATAGAACTTTATTAATATACATTTTCTGTGGCTTGAGTTTTATTTAATAGCATGACCTTGGGATTCATCCACAGTTGCTCTCTGCAGCCCTGACTTGATTTTCACAGTTCTATGTGAAATTTCATCATACATACTGCAACGTTTTTTGTATTTTGTTTTTCCTTTGTATTGTTGACAGACATTTGGATTGTTTCCAGGTTTTGGGCTATAATAAAAAATGCCAGTATCAATTTTTTGACAAGTATTGTGGTACACATATGAGAACATTTTGGAAGGAGACATATATTCCTAGGATTGTAATTACCAGGACATAGTATAGATGTATCAGTTTTATTATATGATGGCGTAGCATATTTTCTTGAGTGTTGTACTGATGTACACTCTCAAGAGCCATGTCAAAGTTTCATTTGCTCTACAGCCACACCTTGCATTTAACAATTATTCCATTTTAATTCTTGGCATTCTGATAGCCGACTGTAACCACTGAGTCCTTGTATATTTGAGTCCCTGATATTTTCAGTTATTTCCCTTTTTGGGACCTTTGCCTATTATCTACTGGGCTGTCTTCTTGTCATTGTCATAAAATTTTTTTGTTAGACATATATTCTGGTAACTAAGCACTTGGCAGAAATTTGATATATAATCTTTCATTCAGTTTTGGCTTATTTTTCTATTTTTAAAATTGATTTCCTTTTGTATACACATTTTTCATTTTTCTGTTTTATTGAAAATAGATTATTTTCTCATATGATATATCCTGATTGTATTTCCCCTTCCTCAGTATACACAAATATTAAATTTTAGTGCAAATCTATCACCCATTCTTATATGTTTTATTCTTACCATGACCTAGTTAAGATCCTCTTTTGTGTTGAGATATAAAGGATACTCTTGTGTTTTCTTCAAACTTATTTTATTTTTAGCCACTTATTCATGCAACTTAAAAAATATATGTTTTATCTTGAGAACACAATTTTACTTTTTATATAGTTGTCCAGTTGGAGTATGTGTGAAGTCACGTATCATAGTTTTACTTTCATGACTTGTAAAACCAAAAATCACTGTCCTGGGTTAGGCTCAGAAGTATTCTGCTATATGGTTATGATTCATGTAGAGCCATTGAACAGGATATTTGACATAGAAAGACCAGACGTATTACAGATTTTAAAAAGTTAGGCTCAGAAATCAAAATAGCAATAATTAAAGTGACAACAGAAAACATGAGAAGCTTTGTAGAGAATGGACTTTCTTTTGCAAATAATAAAAGTAAATCCTAAATATGATTTTGCTGATTTTAGAGAGAAAAAGCTCTTTTCAATGTTAAGTTTACTGAAGTTGACATTCCACAAGACCTCAGGATAGAGATTTCAGAACCATCTGTGTATACAGGAAGTTAAATCTGTTGCAGGATGTTTGAAAGGAGTTGGATAGTTTCTCTATTCTTATTGCTTACAAGGATTCTTTACACATTCTAGGTACTCTCTCTTCTCCTGAGGACATCCCCTAGTTCATGTCATTTGGGTTGTTTTAATATTTCCAGGGTGTCCCCCGAAGAAGAGAAGTTCTAAGTTTTATGTAGCCATGTTATCAACAATTTCCTTAATGTTTGCTATCTTATTTAAGAAATTTCTGCATAGTGAGGGCATAAGAGGATTTTCTGATGTCTAATTCTAGTTTCAGTAGATACCTACAGATATTCGGCCTGACTGAAACTGACGATCGCTGACGGCCTCGGGTGGGGAGGAGGTCACAGCTTCACTCCCCACCATCGTCTTCCTCCTTCGTCTGTCGTCCCCCAGCGCCTTCGTTTTCTCAGTATTTTAAAATCACCTTTGTCTTTTCAGTATCCTCTGACTTTCCCTTTGTGTTTTCAGGCATATTAAAATGTGTGGTTTCTTCTTCATTTTAAAATTACAGTATCTGCAGTCGTAGTTCTGCCATCTGCGGCCCCTGGTGGTTCTCCTTGAGGTAATTTGTGTCCTTGCGGATGCTCTGGGATTTGGCCGTATGTTCGTATGTTTTGGAATTTTATCTGAGGCCTTTGAGATCCATATTGACAAGTTATACTTCCAGTGACTGTTTATTTACATTTGCTTCGGCTCACCACGGGCCCGGACAGTGGATGGGGCGGCCGGACCGCCTACCTACACAGAAACAGAACTTTTCTCATCTGCGCTTTGCCTCCACTAGAATCCACAAGCTCAGGTGAGGACCAGCCTGAGGATGTGAATTCCGAGGGGCCGTTTTGTATTTTCCCTACTCAGTGTTGTGTTCTATAAGAGGAATTTTCCAAGCTGTCTCCTGAATTTACCTCTAGGTCTCATGTACAACCTTCAAAGCTCAGGCCTTTGTCATTGCTGACTTCTTAAGAATTCTTATTCGAGTCTTACTTTGGAGAATGTTCCTCTCATGATTTGTCTTGTCTGTGAATGTAGAAGCTCACATTCACCTTCATGGGCAAGTGTCCTTCTGGGAAAAGACAGATTCAAACTCACTAGATCACCATCACTTAGTGTTTGAATAAGCTTTCTTCCTAACACATCAATGTAACCGACCTATTCTAATAATTCTCACTGTGACAGTTGGTCATGATGTGAAGTGTGCTACATCACTGGGAAATAGTTTTAGAGTCTTCAAAGGCTGCTCGGGAGAGATTGGTTAGGGAGAGGAAGTGTTCTGGATTTAAAGAAGAAAAAGTTATTCCTACAATAAATTGAAGAGTTGATGCCAGGTATTCTGGCACACACTTATAATTCCAGCACTTAGGAGGCAATGGAAGGAAGAGCCAGAATTCAAGTTTAACCAGAGCATACAGGAGGGCCTGTTTCAAAACAAAAGCAAGCAAACAAAAACCCCAAACACTCAAAGGCTGGTGATGCAGCTCAGAGTGTTGAAGACCTGTAATGAGCATAGTAAAAAAATGCCCCTTAGACATGTAAAAATGGCTTAGTCAGCATCCCCACTAACCCAAGGCTGCACCTGATAATCAGAACTCAGTGACATCACTCACTCAAGACACCCAGGCACAGTCCTAGACCCCATGACACCCACAGGACGGTATATAAGCAGAGACCAAGAGCAATACTCTGACTCTGCTCTGCACATCTAGAGAGACTCTACCTTGATCTGCCCTGCAGCAGAGAGTCTCTATCAGGATCCTGACCCTTGAATCAGAGACTTCTGTTAGAGATTGGACTTTACCTTCAGCTAAGATACGTCACACAGGTGAGCAGCCTTGGGGAGATAGGATTAGGGCTGTAGTTAGGAATTTAGAGTGTGAACCCTGTGTGATGACCCTCAGCATAATAGAATATAGCTTTTGTTATACTAACTATGTGTATCTACCATCTTGCTCACAACAGGACCCTTTGTGAAAACAAGAATACATAAATACAAGACCAAATTCTTGTTCATTAGCTCACTCTTGTAAATTTACTGTAAAATCTCTGCTATGCTACTAGGCCAGGAAGTATATTTAAGGACCTGAATTTAAAGACCTCAATGATCAGCTTAATAAATGGTGATTTTTGAGGAAATGATGAATGGTAATAATCAAAAGCCAGATCAAGACTTCAGCAATGATTAGAAACTGTTTCCGTCCCATTTTTAAGAGAGCAGAGATGGTTCCTGGCCAAATAGTTTTGTCTGTTTTATTGTATTTACTATGCTATGATGCTCATTTGACAGGGCATCCCTAAAAAAAATCCTTGTCATTACTTATTTTATTATTAAAAGAAAAAAGTCATCAAATGCCAATCAGGATTATGATAGAAAAATTCAAGGCCTACTTTATAAATGCCGAGGATCAGAGTTATCAAAGGAACCTTCATTGGCATTCTATACGTGACTAATGCAATTTTTATTTCTGAGCAGACATGACAAATGAGAATTGTGTCTTTCTCCACTCTATTACCAGAACCTCATTAGGACCTGATGAACACGTGGGGAACTGATCCAGCTGAGACATTCTTGGGCAAAATACATTAGCATTACAAATGCTACTTGCTCTGAACCTATCTGAAGGATCATTTTCTCTCAGAGGTATAGTAAGAATTACATTACCAGTACAGTTTGTAAGCTCTGTTGAATAATTCTATATTTTAGAAAAGGAAAGTGACCTTCTGTATATCCCAGAGGGATAATAGCATTGCAGGATCATTCAAAATAAAGCTAAATGGAACAAGATAATAGTAACACTAGCTTTACAAAAATTACCTGAAAGAGATTTGAAAGACAGTTAAAAACATAATCTAAAATATTTAGAACAAAAATATTTCCTGATACTAGATTTAGACATATGGCTTTTATTTCTCCTTCATTTAACACTTATGTTTTAGATTGTAGCTGGATAGTGAGAACAGAAATATAGGTTTGAGAATTCTCAATTTTGTACTGCTTTGAAATATGGACACAATTATCCTCAATAATGATGATATTCTTCAGTTATCAGAGTTTTGTATTTTTCACGTTTTACTGCACCTGAAATCTGAGACCCCAAGCAATGTCAAAAAAAAACCATGCCCCAGGCTCTAGGCTGTTTAGAGGTCATTGTCTTTGTGAGTAATAACAGTGGTAACATTCAAATGCTTGAATTTTAGGTTAAGAGGTTGCATCCTCAATGAACTGAAAGGAAATACTGTTTTATTCGAATAAATAATAATAAATGCTAAACAATGAAATCAAGCACAACTAGAAATTGCTAAACATATTGACTTTATTATGGTGTTTCAAAGCCATGACAGACAATATGATAGATTTGTAGGTTCAAAGGATCATTACTCAGGAGACAAACATTTACTGATGAAAAAGCTTATGTATGACTCAAAGTAGAAGGTAATTAATTCACAGGGTTGGATAATTTGATTAAGAAAAAAGTGAAACTATTAGTTAAACTAAATACAAACTGCAAGTAAAACTCTATAACTTGGTAAATGTGCTTGCTGCAAGGTTGATAGCATGAGTTCAAGCCCTGGAATCCACATAATAGGACAGAAGTGACTCCTGCAAGCTGTCCTCTGACCTCCACAGACCCGCAGTGGCATGTGTGTGACCACATACATACACAGACACAGTAAAATAAAATAAATGTTTTTTTTTTTTAAAAAAAAAACCCCTACAATCACAGTGTCAATTTCAAAGATGCCCAACAAATCTAGATCATGAGCATGTATAACACAATAAATGTGCCGTCTGCTAAAATCAATTTAGAAGATGTTTTAAGCTGTGTGGGAAATCACAGGAACCCAAGTTAGTTCTTGATGATACATAAAGTACCATCCATAATTACATAATTATAGTACAATAGTATAATAATCAATGTATATGTGACCTAGCATCTTGTTTTTCAAAACTTAATCCTTAGAAGCAGAAATGACAATCACCATGACCTAAATAGATGTACTATTAAACATTATTTCACGCTGATGTGGTCTTACTTTTTGCTGGCTATGAGCTATGAGGGTAAATATGATTTTCAGTAGGATACTTAAGAAATAATATATCCTAGTAGATATATGCCTACTAGATATCCAACATATCCTAGTAGAACAATGGAGACACATGGGCTGGGTGAGAGGGTGCATGGGACATTCACTGACTCTGCTGATACCAAGGATGAATGAGTGGTTGTATCTGGAAACCTGTCTACTAACTTTATGTTACTTCTCCCAGGTCACCTTCTACATAGCGTAAGTTGGTAACTTAAACACATGGAAACCTTTATTTAACATTTCAGTTGTAAAAAGTTACCAGAGACAAAAACACTGAGTTTAAATGATTTTTTTCAGTATCTGAACATTTTAGGAGGGAAGAATGATACAGTAAATCCAGTAAGATAATTTAGGAAGAGCTACATGTAAGGGTTGAGCCTGTGAGTAAGCCTCTTCAGACAGACTGGTCCTTACTGTGGTAGCACTCAGCTAAACTTCGCTCTGCCTCACTGTGCTCCAAACAATGAGAACAAAGCATTTCCCTCCTAAGATAAAGGCATAGTGCTGGTAGAAAGTAGTGCTCAGTGGATGTGGACACGACTTTTCTTGACATTTGATATGGCATCCAAGTTTTGCTGCTTCTTCAGTTTTTTAACTTGGGCAAAGTATTTTTTAAAGCACTTAAAAATGGGCGAAAATAGAACCTACCCATAGACTGTCAGGAGAGTTGAATGAGAAGGTGCAGGAGAGGCCTTCTCTGAGGTGCCTCACACTTGGTCGGCTCCTGGTGAGTCTTCCTAGTATAGCAAACATTAGTGTAACTTCCAGATTACTTTGATATAAACTTGGAGTATAGAAGAACTAACCCCTGTAGAATGCGTGACAGCTGTGTTCCTCTCTGCTGTTTTACAGACTAATCTGATGTTGAGCGTATCAGTTTGAATCTAAGCTTAAAGAGCAGTTTTGGAAAATTCAGGTTCACACAAAATGAAATCATGATATTATCTCAGACAAAAGACTGTGGGAAGAAAACTATCTGAAAGGTTATTATTACTACAGGAGTGAGGCTTTACTTGTGAGCACCCTAGAGTGAGAATTATGACCATGGCGGGTACAGTTTTGGCAACTTGGAAGATGTTCATATTGTGTGAGCTGTCCAGAGATAGGATGGTTGCCTCCGAAGACACTGGCTTCCTGATGATGGGACTGCTTATTTCTCTATTTATTTAGCTGGAAAGTCTCTTGAGGAAGAGATTGGAGATGACGGAGAAGATACAGGAACTTAAGCTCTGATTTTTTAGTGAACTTTAAAGGCTAATCCTTCTCCAAGGTTCAGTGGTTTCGTGGGTCTTGACTTCCATATAGTGAATAAAGTTTTTTTTTTTTGTTTTTTGTTTTTTGTTTTTTTGGAGACAGGGTTTCTCTGTGTAGCTTTGCATCTTTCCTGGAACTCACTTGGTAGCCCAGGCTGGCCTCGAACTCACAGAGATCCTCCCGGCTCTGCCTCCCGAGTGCTGGGATTAAAGGCGTGCGCCACCACCGCCCGGCCATGATTAAAGTTTTAAGGCATGTTTAGAACTCGTGTCCAGTCACCCAGTCTTTTCTTTTGGGTCATGGTCATATCCCACTGCATATCTCTGATCTGCATGGTGAAACTTTATTTCCTTCATTGCTCTTACCTGAGATATCTGGGGAAATGAGCTGGAAGAATCTGCATGCCGATCACACTTAAATTTCTCTTGAAATAGGAAAGTTGAAAAATGATTAAAACCTGTCCTGTCACATGAATTCTCTGACAGTTTCATATGTGTATATAATGGATTTCTGTTTTATAACTGCTTGAATATCCTGTAATGTTCCTCTCCATAGCAAGGTCAATATTAGTTAATAGATGCAAACACTGATTTTATATATATAAATATATGGTTCACAATCGACCTTGCTACCCTTTGAATAATGTGTCTCGCAGGAATAATTGTGTCAGCATTTACTGTCTCATTTAGTGTAACATTTTGCTTGTAATGGGTTTAATTTTTTTCTTGCTTTTTTGTTCATTATTCCTAGTCTTAGAATTGTCTTGTAAAAACTTAAGGGCCAACTTTCCAAATAAGTCATGAGTATTCCTGAAGGACAGTGGAGAAGGGAACTCCAGCTTCTCCAGTGCATACAACTGGGAATATTTTACCAGTACGATGGTCTCATCAGATCTACACAGTTCATAGATAGGTGAAGAGGTTTGGCTATATAGTGAAGGAGCAGGGAGAAAACAGGATCAGAAGTCTGGTGGGAAGGAAGATTGAACAATAGTGGAGAAGGAACCATTTGAGATAGAAGCAGTATGTGATATTAATGTCTCAATGAATGTTTGCTTTAACCAAAGGCAGTAGGACCAAGTGAGTCAATTGACTCACATGCTGATGTCAGTCAACTCTGACCCTCTGGAGTGGTGCCAATGAAGCAATAAACAATGAACGGCCTATTGTAGCAGTAATGAAGACTACACTTGTCTTAGTAAGGAACTGATAGACTGGATGCTACCAGGGCTGAATGATCAATTGAATTTCCTCCATTGATATTATAACGAGGGACAAACCTTCCTTCTGTTGATTGCACTGTATTTCTTCCATTATGGAACAAACTGCTTTTGTCCTCAATGGAACAACAATCTGGATAATTTGGGGGCTACCATGCTGCTTCTGTTAACTTAGTGAAGGCCTTATTTTAATTATGCCATCTCACACAGTATTGCTTTTGGTCAATAGAATCAATTTATAGCAAAATAATTAAGGCCTCTATTCTTGGAGTTCGCTACTAAATCCACAAAACTCTCATTATGAAGCCGCTGACTTAGAGCACAGTGGATAGTTTAGCAGGACTTAGAACCCTGTGAGTGGAGAAGCAAGACCTTCCAACACTGGGGCTGTACCCTTCAGAATAAAATAGAGTCTGTGAACAAGTAACTAATACATATTGCTATTTCTTTTAATTGGGTAATGACTGTGGGGGGGGGGATTTCTCATTATCATATTTAGCAATCAAGGTGCAAAACTTGGATATCCTAAATCCAATATTTTGTCTTCTGCTAGCTTCAAAGTCTTAGTATTAATTAGAGGAATATTCCTCTAGGGGATAAAGTTGATTTGGAACTTGAAATTACCACATGTTATTTTGGGACTTTCCTTTGCCGTGGACTGAAAAGTTAAAAATATTATGATGATATTCCCCATGAATTTGAATATAGAGTCCAGAGGATCCTGAGGAGTACCTCTTAGTACTGTCATATCTGGTGATGAAAGCAGAGACTACAGTATCTGTGTATAGGTGGGATCATGAGGCTCATCATTCAGTAGCTAAGATTTTGGTGAACCCAATCATGACTGGATGGGGGATCATGTGGCTGAGCACAGAGGGAATATGGAGGAAGGAAGTCAACAATGCCCCAAGTTCATAACAAAATTGATTTTTTGGTGTGTAGTTCCATGAATTCTAACAGATGTATAGAATTGTAACACCCGTACTAGCCATTTCTAAAGACACAAAACAGAGTCCCCATAAATACATATCTGTGTTGTGCTGTCACTCCGTGGCTATAAGTCCCTTCCACTTCAGCCACTAAGAAACATAAATTTCTATAACTATAATTTTATTTATTTTGGGTGATTCCATATAGATGAAATGATAACAGCATGTATTTTTCAAGATTTTCCTTTTAATGTAATGCTTTTGAAATTTATCCAAGTTATAATGCACACACATAGTCCATTTCCTTTTATCTTTGATATCAAGATGGGATTGTCAGCAAACCCAGACAAGAAATGAACAGCACCAAGATAGGAAAGTTTTAGTGCAGGAATAAGAATACTTAAAGATTGTGAGTGGCAAGAGGGTGAAGCGCCACAGATAGTTGTTTGATTCTCTCATATCCATTTTGTCTTAATTTTAGCATGCCTTTTTGAACCAAAAGGTAAAACAGATAAGATATTCCAATTTAAGTATATTTTCATTTAAAAGTTTAATTTTTAGGAAAATAAGAAATCCTAATGAAACTACAGTTATTTGCACTTATATATTGTCTTACAGATATGAAGTATTTATTGTTTAAAAACAGAGATCTAGGAGAGGAAAAGCATTAATGTATGGTTATGCTCATAGAACAAGGAGAACAACAAAAAACCTCAAGCAGCTGGGAGAAGCTTCGTTTGTTATTGCACTAGGGATGCTCTGGCCTTGTCGACTCTCTTCCTCCATATTCCCAGGACTCCCTTGTGGCTAGATTCTACATGGAAAGTAGGTTAAAGAAACACTCTCCCATGAGATGTAGGAGACGGTGAGGAAACGAAGCAGCAGCAGCTGCAGGATCATAGATAAATTCTCAGGGCAAAGACAGCCCCATGGCACTGGTTCCTCTGCGCTAGATGGCACAGAGGATTGAGTGCTATGTGAAGCCTGGAGCAGAATTTGTACCAACGTTACCTGATTGCCTGGTAGGTCGTTATTCTTTGTTTCATTTGGTTCCACGGATCCAAACTTTGTTTACTTTCTCTCTAGGAAATTCTGCAAGGCACTATAAACCATATGATATAATGTAGTAAATACATAATAGATTTTTTTCTCTATAAATCAAAAGGAGGTGGAGTCTATTAAGTGCAGTTAATTTTTTGTTTCTTAGATTGAGAATTGGGGACTCATCCCAAATTCATCATTGGATAAATTTAGAAACTTCTAAATTAATTACAGTGCATCTGTGATAATGCATATTAGTGGTCAAAATACCAGTGTCCTCTTTGATGGTACAGGATAAATATTGGAAACATCAATTGTAGTGTGTCTGGAGTAGTTCATATTATTAATAAATCAGCTGCTCTCATTTATGGTGCTCACATAACACACTGATTCATGCAACACATATTTATCGATGCTTGTATATTAGATCTGGGAATATAGTAATTAAAAGCAAACAAAATCATGTATTCATGGAGCTTGGATTTTAGGTAGGAGAAGCAGGCAATAAGCAAACTATGCAGCTTGCGGGATGGTGATAGTCCTGGGGAGAAAAGTAAAGCAAGGACGGGGGATAGGGAACCGCAGGAATTTTAGGAAAAACCCACCAGGAAACGACACTTGAGTAAAGACTTGAAGAGGAGCACTGTAGGCCAACATTTCAGGCTTTCAGGCAGAAGGAAGCCCACGTGCAGTTAACTGAAGGAACAACCATGGGGTCAGAGTTTCAGGCACTCGGGGAATGAAGAGCCTCTAGGATAATACACTCAAGAACAAAGGCGCAAAAAATCTATGCCAAAGATCGGCACACAAACGCTAGAATCTTCCTGGGATTCCTTTGATTACTGCAACGGCTGTTCTTGGTTGTTAATTTCACTAAGTCTGGAATGAACTGAGAGACCCAAATGGAGGGGCACATCTGTGAGGGATTTTTGTTTAATTTGAAGTAGGAAGATCTATACTCCTAATCTTTCAGGTAGGAACACAGACCTTTAATCTGGATCTTGAGGCAGGAAGACACACCTTTAATCCAGAATTATTGAGCTGGGAAAAACCTACCTCTAATCTCCCCCATGCCTTCTGCTGGAAGCCTGTTTAAGGACATGGAAGAAGGAAGCTTTTGCCCTTTCCCTGCTTGCTCTCACCTTGCTAGCAAGTCCATTCCTTCGCTGGCACAAGAGCCTACTTCTTTGGGATTCCAATAATACTGAAGACCAGCTGAGACAATCAGTCTCATGGACTGAACACCTACTGGATTCTTGGGCTTTCCATTCATAGGCAGCCATTGTTGGATTAGTTTAAACAGCCTGTAAGTAATTCTAATAAATACCCTTCATATATATATAAATTCTAAAAGTTTTGTTACTGTAGAGAACCTTGACTAATATAATTACAAAGATGCAAAACTTCTGACTTGAGAGGATATTGGAGGCATCGCCCTTCCTGGGAATTTTGGACTGCAAGTAAATATAGTACAAGTAATTTATGGAAGGGATATTTACAACAAGCTATAACTATACCAATAACAATGGCAGACACTTCAGATGCATGAACTCATTAAATACATTAATTTATTGCACACCAATCCTATAATGTCAGGTATTTTTAGTTTTGATTTTCAGATGAAAGAATTAAAACTAAAAGTTTAGGCAAATGCTCACACAGCCAGTAAGGAGGAGAGTTTCCATTAAAGGAGGTTTGCTTGATTTCACATTTGTGATAGTTAATTTTATGTGTCGATGTGACTGGGATAAGGGACACCCAGGGATAACAGGTGAAACCTTATTTTGGGTGTGTATGGGTGTTTCTGAAAGATTAGCATTTTGACCTGTAGTGAGGAGATCTCACCATGTTGGACTGTCAGCATCTAGTCTTGCACCATGAAGGGAATGAAATGGTGAATTTGCTGTCTCTCTTTGAGCTGAGGCACACACCTACCCCTGCTCTCAAAAATCGGTAGTCCTATGCAGCTCTGAAGCCTATGAACCACAATGGCTAGAATGCCAAGATATTCAGAAAGTGATACTTACATCTTGATGGCAACCAAGAGCTTTCTTGTTGGACTTAAGACGTATTAAGACGTATAGGAGGGAATTCATGCCTAACTTGGTAAACCTAGCTCAGTACTCACGGCTGGTGAGACCTAAGACCCTGCAGGAGAACTTACTACTGCCACTGCTCCAAACAAGTATAATTCATAGCTGCATTGTAAATACTTATCCTTCTGCCCGCAGATAAGCATGGCTCTCATCCCTCATCAAAGAAGCTTCTTTGCTGCAGATGGTGAACATACAGAAAGACAAGACTGGTCAAGATACAGAGAGCAACTGACCATGGAATGCCCAATCCCATTGATACATCTGTAACATAAGCCTTATACTGAAGGTTCCCTATCTGTGGAGGGATGTCACAGAAGAAGAGGCAAAAATACTGTAAGAGCTAGAGGACCAGGGGATCTGCTACGAGATAGTGTCTTCTATATATGACAGGAATGCTGCACCCATGAGATGTCAACAATACGGCTGCCTAAAGACAGCCTGAAAGATGACAATAGCAATTTGCATGCCAATGTGAAGGGGGGAAACCTCACATGGTCCCATGCCTAGATGAAGAGTTGGAGGTAATTAATAACTGCCGATAGAGGTGAAATGAGTCTTCTCTAAAGACAAGCCCCCAATAGGTTAAGCACATATATTCAAGCAGCACTAAATAAATCTAGCAGGTTTATACACACACACACACACACACACACACACACACACACACACACACACACTAATAAAAATGAGGGGCCATGAATTTGAGGAGGGTAGTGTTGGAGGAGAGGAGTTAGAGGGGAATGATGTAAATACAAAGCTCATATATGAGATTCTCATAAAATAAAGGTAAAAATAATCAAATCAAAACAAAGTTAATTTGCAAATGATTGATTGTTCTTATTCAACTAGTAAATTGAAATCCAAGTGTCAAAAGACGTTTAGTATAACCAGTTAGAAAAAGTATGTGCTTTGTATTACCCAGAAAACACCCTTATTATTTTTATCTATCCTCTCAATATTTTTGAATTTTAAGGTGAGACTAAACATTGAACCCAAGTCCTCACATAGTAGCATAATATTATTATTTAAGTTGTATCTCTTTCCCCTTCTGGCATTTTTAATATGGATGTTTAAATCTAGTTAAGATGAATTCCACAAAATAATTTCAATGATTCAGTTTTCAAAAGCATAGAAAGTACGGAGGCTAACAAAACTAAATCCCTAAGTAGGGAAACAAATCTGCCAGTGTCTGAAATCCTGTGCTATTTCCTGCTGAGGAAATTGTGGCTTTCTTTCTTTCTCTGTAAAATAGGTGGATAATGGGACACCTATGTCTCAGTGATTTTGAAGATTAAATAAATTACTTGATCTTCGAATACTTCTAGTATTTATCTATTAAATGCCCAATAAATGTTGGTTATTAGCATAACTGCTACCCAATACTCACAACAAAACATTACCTTTTATATTTGCTTCAGATATTTTCTTTCTCCTTCTCTAGCCCCCCTTTCTGCCTTCTTTTCTTTGAAAAATGAAATACTGGGGTGGGGAGATGACTCAGCAGTTAAAAGCAAGCGCAGCTCTTGCAGAAGAACTGAGTTTGGTTGATGGTTGGCCCACACCAGCTTTAACTTCAGCTCCAAGGGATCTGACAGCCACTTCTGGCCTGTGCGGGCATCTGCACACACGTGGCATGCACATACAGAGTGCACATACATGCACGTAACTAAAAATATGTTAAGAGTTCAGGGCTAGCGAGGTAGTCGTGGGGAAAGTGCTTTCTCTATAAGCACAAGACCCTGAAGTTAGACCCCCAGAATCCAGACAAAAGCTGGACATGTTGGCACGTGTCTGGAGTGAGGTGGAGAAGGGACAAGCAGATGAACGAGGCTTCCGCACAGGTGCACGCGTTGAATCCTTGAGCTCTAGGTTTAGTGACAGATCTTGTCTGAGAAAATATGGTAGGGAGTGAAAGAGGAACACCCCCAAAGTTGACCGTTAACCTTCACTGGTGAGTGCATGTATTCACGCGCCACTTCCACAGAATTAAAAGTTCAGATGAGGCCCTCTGTATGCTCCTTCCCAATCTTTCTTTTTTTCTCGGCGATCATCACCATGAAGTCTGCCCGTGTTTTAATAAATAAAATATATTGAATGTCTACTGTGCATAAATTGTGTGTCATTATTTTCTTTGCTGAATGGGGAAAAAATTCTCAAGCATTTCCTGTGTCAGGTGCTTTTCATGAAGCAATTTTTAGTAGTTGGGTAATATGCCATTGAATTTGTCAAATGAGATTAGGTTAAAGGTGCCTCCATCTGCAGCAGACTGCAACCTAAGTTAGAATATAAGGGAGCTCTGACCTAATTTAAGAGCATATTCTTTTAACAAGTATCTGAGACATGGTAGCCTTTCCAACCAATCACAACTTGCAAACTAAATATGGCAAATGTAGAGCTGTGACCAATTAGGCTATTTCTCTTTCTCTCTCTCTCTCTCTCTCTCTCTCTCTCTCTCTCTCTCTCTCTCTCTCTCTCTCTGTGTTACAGGCATACAACTTAAGTTCAACTATATGTGACAAAAAACATTCAGAATATTGTCATATTATGGAAAATGGTTCATTTGTCATTTATAGCAGTTAATTCATAGCTTATGTGTTTTTTGATAAATTATTCCTGTAGAGGGCTGAAGATACAATGCTTGCAATTAGGCTATTTCTATGTCATACCCTCTGTAGTCTCCAAACACATCTGTGATGCTGGGGGATGGAGCGCTCTGGTCTAGAGTGCTATTTGATTCATGAATATTTACACCCCTCAAATCAATTCCACTAAAATTAATCTGTGTAAGGAATTTCTTTTGCATATAACATTATTTGTTTCACTTTTCTTTAGTATTAGATATTTAGGTTTCATTTACCATTTTTTTTTTTTAACAAACAACACTGGCGAACATTTGGGTCTTTACATTTTTGTGTATCTGATTTTTTTCCCCTGGGTAGAATTGTTCGACATTAAAAAACACAGGCACTGGGGCTGGAGAGATGGCTCAGCGGTTAAACGCACTGGCTGCTCTTCCAGAGAACCCAGGTTCAATTCCCAGCACCCACATGGCAGCTCACAACTGTCTGTGACTTCAGTTCTAGGCGATCTGACACCTTCACACCAATGCCCTTAAAGTAAAGTTAAATAAAATTATTAAAAAAAAAAACACAGGCACTGTAAATGATACATGATAATTATAATATTATACAATAATATAGAGATAGTGAAAACAAAGTCAGTAAAAAAAAAAAAGAGAAAGAAATAAAAGAAAACAGCTGTCTCTCTACTAATCAGTCTCTGCCCAGAGCTTTGGTTTAGTTTGTTTTAATCATGCTCCTTCAATAAAACCCCCTCAGCTGCGCACCTGCCGCCCTTCCGCTCCACCTGGGGACAAACTTCCTGGTAAGGCGAGTTTCCAGCTTTTAAACATTGATATTGTTTCATTGCCCTTCCTCAGGTCTCTCAATATCCTCTGAAAAGGTAACTTTAATATCTGTATAGTTTTACCGCAGGAAGGAATATAATTTACTTAACCATTCCCCATCTGGGAACACTTAGGCTAGTTCATTTTTAATTAGACAACAATGAGCACAAAAACTTGTTTTCCTTATTGACTAGCTCTTAGATGACTAGAATTAAAAATGACTAGGAAGAGAGAAAGAGCCTGAAGTTGGGTGGGGAGGGAGGTGTGAAGGATCTGGGAAGAGTTAAGGGAAGGGAAAGAATATGATCTATCTATATTGTATGAGGAAATTTTTTAAAACTTTAAAAAGATGACTAGCCAAAGGCATGACTATATTTCCATAACTGTGAATGAGTTTATTCTTTGGCAGCTTTAGATATATAATGCATTTTGATCCCTCTCACCCTTCCCTCTATTATCTTCCTCCCACCTGTGATCTCCCTACAAGTCCCTGGCTACACTCAGGCCTTTTTTGTTTGGTTTTGTCACTGTCAGAGCTTAGCCAGGGCTGTCCATGTGACCATGGGTTTGTAGCTATCTATCCATTGGAACCTGGTGGACCCACTGGTTCACAAATGAGGCAATGGCTCCCCCTCCTCCAGAACTTGTCAGTAGTTAGTAACTCATCTAGGAGGGAGGGCCCTTGGGATCCCGTGTCCGGTGTAGGGCGGTGGGCAGGGCTGCTGTGCTAGCAGATGGCTGTGTGGCGTCCAGGAGACAGCCTGTTGCAGTCCTCCTCTCTGTCTTCCTTCCTGCTCCTACACTCTTTCTGTCTCCTCTTCTACCATGTTCCCCGAATGAACAAACATATTTTAATACGTTGTCAAATTGTTTTCCAGAATACCTGTGCTCCCGAGTGCACAATCCACAGACACATTTACCAGAATTATTCTCATTCCAGATTCACATAAAACACTTTTCATAATATTTCATTCTGCCTGTGTAAAATTTACATTTCAAACATTCGTTAGTTGAATTCATTCATACTTCCTAACATTTTTTGTGCTTAGAGGATTTAAAAACTTTTGTTCATTTATATTGTTATCTGGCTTACCTGCAAAAAGAAAAAAAAATCTATGTAGATAACACGCCCTTAGCCCTGCTATTGTGGGTGTAGTTCTGGCTTTTGTGGATTCTTAACGTTCTCCTCTGGATGTGCCCTGCACAAGAGAAAACCAATGTACACCTAGTAACTCTAAGCTGTTTAATCTTTTAAGAGGAAATTATTAAGTGAGGGTTACAAAGGGTGCTGCGTAGGGAAATCTGTAATTGCAATTTAATCCAGTTATATTGACGAAAATGAGCTTTATTTTTTATAAAGAAAGAAAATGTTTTAAATTCATGAGTCATGTTGTTAGTTGTTGACAAAGATAATATAAATTTGGTTCACATGAATTCCTGGTGGATTAAAGAATAAAAAAAAACATACAGAGAAAATAAAAACAAAGTGATAACAGAGCATCTACCTGTCCAGGCATTCCTAAACCATAGGAGGATGAAAACGACATTATACATTTGAGTAAACGTATTTACAGTGCTGAAGATAAATTCAGGTCCATTTACATTTAGTGCGTCAAGTGGGTTTCTCTAAGTAATCGAATGAACAGGATAACCGAACACAACAACTCATTAATTCCTAGGGTCCAAGATCCTTGAGGTCCTCCCACACCCATACGTCCTTGTTCACTGCTTCGCGGGGGCCACACAAGATAGACCACCATTGCAGTCTTTGTACAGGATAAATGCTTTCCCAGAAGCAGAAAGGTTTACTCGCCAGAGGCTGCACATCTGTGTAAAGTCATACCAACACAGCAGCAAGCAGGTTTGGTGCCACCACCACAAACATCTACTACAGGCACCCTTCCAAGAGCTTTGTGCACATCAACTTAATTAACCCGCATGGCGACCCCACGTGGTGGGTACCGTTACCATTTTCATCAAATAAATGAGCTAACTGAATCCAATACTACAGACCTCGGGCCTCTTGCCTCTCTGCCGTTTCAGGCAAACCCTAATCATGTCGAAATTCATTTTGAGGTTGCCAGGCGTGGATCCTTACAAGAGATATTCTTAGGGTGCCCACAGGGGTCTAGAGAGGAGCGACACCCCGGGGTCCCTGGCCTCCCTGACTCCCCCTAGCTAGTCGCGAGGCTCCTGCGCGGTTGGCGGTGCCACCGCTCCACGCGTGCTGGGCTGGGCCT